CTTACTTGCACGCGGTGCAACTCCGCTGATATCCCTTTTATTAAAGTCCAGCTGGCGGCAAATAGGAATGAAATCAACTGTGACAGCTCATTAGTGATATATACACCCTCTGTTTGGATGTCAGTCCAGCTCCCAAGAAACGAGTATCTACATCGTTTTTACCACTGATAATACAGCGGGTACCCTTGTGACAGCGAGGGAACCAAGAGGCTTTCACATAGAAAAATTCCACTTGACTACCAAATCACGCTTGCTCGATAAAATTGCTCTCACCTTCATTTAGGTACATCAAATGAAGATGCTTCTTCAGTGTATGCTGGGGAATTTGCTCGCAGACTCTCTGTGGAATATTCTTCTTGCAGACTAAACCCAAAGTTTCCATTGCTTAATTTTAAGGTGTTTTATTCCTGGTTCATCTCCTGATGCTGCATGTAGAATTGAAAAAGAAACTTAACATCATTCTTTCTTACTTTATATTTAATTACTTAGTTGTAGCAATTAGTGTAGTTCACTTGTGTTCCTTTAAATCCCCCCTCATGCTGGAAAGGTTTCTGTGTTTTTACACTCAGAAGTAAAAAAAAAAAAAAAAAATTACCTACCATGGTTTCCTGTGTAGGCAATGATGGAAAAGATGGAGTGAGCAGTTTGGCCCTCAATCCCTTTGTGAGTTTGCAGAGTGTTTTGTTCCTGACTATGCTGGTGCAGTATCAGAGTAGGATGATGGACTCATATAACTGGCTCCAGCTTATCATTAACTTCAAGGGATTTACTCCACACTTTAATCAGTCACTGAATACATAATCTGACCCAGGAAAAGGCACAAAGTGTAAATCAGTGCCTGATTTGGCCCTGAGCCAACGCTGGTGGGAGAAGTGCTCTCAAGAGATTTAATAAAAAGTATTTCTTAGATAATGAACACTCCTGCAGAAGGAGGCCTTATCAAATGCAGAATGAGTATGATCTATCAAACATTTGCTTTCATCTTCTTCTGATCCTCTGTAAAGTAAAAGCTCTAAAGTAAAAGCTCTGGATGATGCTGTGAGGGAGGGAGTTTTGGCCTCTTACGTGCAAGGTTACGGCATTTGGAGGCACCGGGTTTTGCATCACTTCCGTGTTCTGCGGGTGGAGAAAGGGATTCTGGAAACACTCTTTAGCTCAGTGGGACTCTTTGAGGAGAGAGAAAATTGCTCTTTTATTACGAGGTTTGCCAAATGATCTCTGAGAAAATGTGATATCATTCATATGCATTGCCAAGCTGGAGAGATGCCGTGCATCTTGGCAGCCATCTAGAGCTAACATGTAATTCCTTTGGGTTGGTATGGGCTTTATCAGAAACAGCTCCATATGCAGTATTTACATAACTGTGGTGGAGTGTGAGAATAAACACAGCTGTGGCATTGCCCTAAATATTTCAATTCAGTGGCGAATTAAGGGAACTTTATCACTGAACTGCAGATAAACAGAAGTCAGTAAGCGGTGGTCAGTTTAGCCAAGGAACAAATCAAAGCTACAATGGCTGGACGGCTGGAAACATTTAAGTGCTTTAGTGTTGAAGTTTACTAAGGTCACTGGTATTTCTCTGCTTTTCAAAAAAATATGGAAATGCCATCAGTCAGCTGTTACACAAAAAGCATCATCCAGATGGACTGGTGGATCAAAGCAGGGTAGGCTGAAAGGCAGAAAAGGCAAGAGCTTACAGAGATGCAGTGCTTTCCTCATCTGATTTTGGTTGTAGCCCGTGGGTTTCTTGGAAGATTTTAAGTTTCTTTTAGTCTCTCCATCCCAATTGACTGTGGAGACAGGAATCCTGGATCTTTAGTGGAAACCTGCAAGCCCAGTTTCCTAAGGATAGTTAAGTGTCCAGATCTTACAGCAATAGCCAGGAGTTCAGGCAGTTGAGGATTTAGACTTTCGTCCTTAAGGTATGAATAAAAAAGGTGCCCTACCTAGCAGCTTGCACAGAAACAATGCTTGCAGATGTATTCCTTGGGCTGGACCAGTGCTGTGGATAAAAGGATTCAGTTTTTGGGCTGTTCAAAGCAGCATTTATTCCTGGTTTGAACTCACTTTTGAAAAGTGTAGCAAGTATTGTCCAATCTTCCTGTCATTCAACTCAGGGAACGAGGCAGACTTTCTGCAGATGTTAGTGCATCAGCATTGATGACTGACAAGCAGTCCCCAAAATAGCCGCATTAGAAGTCACTGGGAGATGATATTTTAAGAGTATTTTTGCAAGCATGGTTCAGTATGTGTGTATGCATGTGTACACTAGAATATATACATTGATATCACAGTAGAAAGTGTATATATTAAAATATACAAAGTTTATAATCACTTAAACAGAATTGTGAAGAGTGATCTAAATCTTCATTTTTTTCAGGGGCCAGAACTGTTGTAGAAGTACTTAAATTGCCACCTTGAAGGGAAATACGCTTTGATGAAGGCCCAAGGAGCAAAATACTTGTTTGTATGTTAAGCCGCTTGCTTTACGTAAGAATTTAAGCATTTTCCAAATTGAAGGGAAGTGAGTTGCTATTGGGAAGCTCTTTCAGCTCTAGATAATTTATTTTTGAATCCAAGCCTGCTACAACTCTAAGTTAAAAGAAATGGCAGGAGTTCGCTGCTGTTCCTTTGCAACTGGAAAAGGAGCACGTTCTTCTGTGTCTTTATAGTCCTTGTTCAGCGCTTTGTTTACCGCGATACAGAGCGACTTTGGAGGTGGGAGTTCCCTTACAGAAACCACAGGCTTTGTAAAGAGCATAGTTTCACACAGTCCATACAGTACATTAGCATTTGTTTCAAAAACAGCACAATACTGCTGTGCTGTCCTAATAATTTTTGTCTTTAAAAGGATGAAAATGGGAGGTAGAGTGCAGAAAATTATGAGTGCTCCTCCTGGCTTGTTCCCTGCCTCATCTGGGTTATGCAACATCTCACCTTTTCGGTGGGGAAATGGGGATGCTGTCACTGATTTCATTTGTAAAATGCTCCTGCCAAAAAGTGCTCTGTAAGTAATAAGCAACGTTTTACTGATTACCACAATGCACTTTGAAAGTCCAAGCCTTGTTTCTCTTGATAGCTGCCTAGAAGAACAAGCTCAAACTCAAGTTCCTACGGCAGTGGGAGAGCAGTGTTTCTGATGGAAAGACAGACCAGGGTGTGGTAGCTGTACACGGCCATAATGATCATCGTCCACAAATATTTAAATCATGATCATCAGGGAGATGGCTTTTTCTGGCAGCTCAGAAAAAATGAGAGTGTGATTGGGAATGTGCCTATCTACAGTTTTCTTATTTACCAGACCTGCATCATCTGACAAGGGATGTTCCTTTCGGTACCTGAGGTTTAACCCTCCGTGCATCCTAGAGTGGCTAAATAAGAGCCTTATTTTCAGACAGTGCTGAGCTTTAGCAGCTTTACGGAGGAAACACGCTTATTGTGTTGGCTCAGCACTTTGTGAAAAATCAACCCACTTCTAAGCTATCTGAACAGTGATTTAGGACCCTGAACAGTTCAGCCACAGAGATTGGAAAATCGTGACCTTTTCTATGTTTAGAGCAGTGTCTATGTGGAGACCTCCCCTTCCCAAAATGGACAAACATGAGACCAGCGCTCCTCACTCTCCCAGCCCCAGAGAGCTCTGCAGATCGAGTCACCTTCTGTTCTGGATTCTGCTCTGGTTTAACCAATTAATTAAAATCTCTTAATTGTTAGTTAAGCTGCAAATTGCAGGATTTCGTAATTGCATAACAAATATTTGTATTACAGTACTGTCTTGAACCTCAACCTGAATAAATGCCACTGGACTAATTACTTTGCTGCTACAGAAAGGAGTCGTTGTGTGTCCCAGAGATCAGGCAGCAATACGCAGGAGAGAAGTGCGTGCATAGGCTCAGATCCCAGGTCAGATCTGTGTGGGCAACGTTCAAGGACAGTCACTGTACATGTATAATGAAAAAGCACAGTTGTGATACGGCTTTGAGTGATGGGCAGTGATGGGCTGGGTTTTATAATCACTACGTAAAGGTAAACCAGTCTCTTACTTAGTGGGTTATTTAACAAATGTTCAGGTAAAAGTGGCCCACAAATCTATAAAGAGCACACAAAGCCCCAGTAGTAACTAATAACTTCACTGAGAACAGAGCTACAAGAGTTGCAGCTGCCTCTCAGAACGTTGTTGTTATTAGCAAACGTGTTGGCACAGGTCCGATAACCACGATGGACAGGATTAATTTTCCTGAAAGCTGTGTTGTCTGTGCTTTTCATACCACAGTGGTGGGGTGGAAGCCCACAGGATGGTATAATAAGCATGTTGGGTTTTTTTTAAAACCCATCTCTCTCTACAGGAGTTTGGAAAACCATGAAAGATGCCTGCCAGCAGCAATCGTATGGTTGCGGTTAACGCTTTCTTGCTGTGGCTGTTAGAAGGATCTGAATGGAGCATTGAGGATGTTGGTAACTCCTGGAAAAGGCCAATTGTGCTGGGCTTCTGGTTGATACTTTGTGGTGTCAGTGAAACCTCAGTGCCATCCTAAGAGCACTTCTCCATTTGGGATGAGGGTGGTTTTCATTTGGCTCTGTATTTGTAAAATAAGCACATTGAGAAACTCTGGGCATGCCTGATAACCAGTTGAAGAAGGCAGCAGCTTATCCCCAGCTTCTCTGCAGTCATCTCCTGTGCAGTTCTGGGTGGTTGCTGCATCAGTGAATGTTAATCCTCTTGCCTTCATATCTGAAACTTCCATTTAAATGCCCGATGTGGGGTTGCATCAGCATTGGCCAATCTCCTTCTCAAGAGTTTTACCATGATGCCAGTACAGACCTGGCTTCAGTTAAGATGATCCTACTCTATTCAAGTGTTGCAAAGGTAAGTTTTCAGTGCTAGGTCTTGATATTAGTATCCTTCTTTTTAACTCAATGCTAACACTAAGCAAGGTAATAAATTTAGCCATCTAACGGTATCTGAGTGAACATAATGTTTTTCCCCCCCATTTTTCTAGACTTATTGAAGTTCATTCACCTGATGCCAAGCACACCGTGGTGCTCAGGAGTAAGGATTCGGCTACAGCCCAGGCCTGGTTCAATGCCATCCACTCCAGTGTCAATGACCTCATCCCCAGGGTGATTGCAGAGGTCAGAGACCAGCTGGGTAAAACAGGGATTGCTGGAAGTCGAGAGATTAGGCATCTAGGCTGGCTTGCAGAAAAGGTAATGATTATTTTCATTTATAAGCTCTCTCTTTCTTGCTTGCTCTTTGTTCCTGAATTCAGCCTTGTCTGGAAGTGGAGAGGCTAAATGAGGTCTGGGTTTTGATTTAGCTTTCCATGAAGACCTTTTTTTTCTTAATGTGCCAATTTTTGTGCTTAAAAAAACCCAAACCAAACAAACTAGAAGGTCCCCTGAGTCTTCGTTTCTGTATGCCAATTAGCAAAGACTTTCCTGAGAGATCAAAAGTCTCATGCTCTGCCAAGTTTAGGAATGGGACATGTGTCACAATAACTGACACCAGCCTTGAGCTCCCTGGCTGTTATGCCTCCTGTTCACATATATGAGGTGTCACCTTCTTGCTCCCAGACTGGGAATTAAACAGTTACTTGGTTTGTGATCCACCTCCACTGCTGTGCTTGGCCACAGGAGCTGGGCATGGTCTGGAGGTGGTTTCCCCGCTGCCCCTGCGAGCTTATTCTTTAATCATAACCCTGCATTTGAGCTGATCTTTGTAGAAGGTCAAGCTTGCAATTGCAACTCATACCCCATGTCTTGCACAGCTTGAGTCTCAAATATTTTACACCACAGCTGAAACCTGGTGTTCAGTTCAAAAGTAGTTTGGGATCTATTGACTTGTGGAAAGCAACTCGTGTATGAACAGGGATGAAATCAGTGTGAGATGATCTGGTTTCGAATCAGGAGTCTCAAAATTTGTTTTAGGGACTTCACCAACTGGTGAGTGTAGTTTTGCTATGGTAACAGTGTTAGGATTGTGCCTTAGAGATACCTCCCATCCAGTTATTGTGTGGGCGGCCGTTGAGAGCATCTCTGCCTCTCCGGCTGGGGGGCATGGAAGAATGGCCACAATTGGACACACCGCCCTTGCAGCCTATGCATCCAGCACAGGTGTGGAAAGCTGGCTGCAATTGCCCTGAAAAAAACCCTGCGATTTTGTAGATGAAAATATAGGAGGTACAGGTGCCATATTTCTATCTGGTGTCCTTTAAGAAGGCACACCCTTAATTTTTAGCAAATCGTGGGTCAGTCCACAGTACTTGTAGTGAGGCAAAGATTGCATAAACTTTCAGGCAGATTTTGTATGTTTTCCTGTCTGTCCCTTCAAGCACACAAGAGTGGGGAGGATGGCAGAACTCTGTGGCCTAGTGCTGTAGAAAATGTAAAAATCTGGGGGAATAATTTGGGGTTGAAACATCAAAACATTGGTAAGTAAATGTTAACAGTATTAAACTGTACAGCCATGGGGTCTTTAATCTTGTTTCCCCTTCTGTATCTATTTCTATAAAATTATGAAAAGCTGAATATAAGAGGCTTTTTTCTGCCACGAAATCTTCTCCTCTGAAAGGATAACTGGTTTGTAGCAGATCATACAGACCTTATATGTAAAATATTCACAGGTCATTTTAAGCAGACACATGGCATGCTTCTGGTTATGAATTTCCTCTCCTTACAGTCAACACACAATATCCTGTTGTGTGTGCTTCTTTCTCCTCTCTTTCTTTGCCTTATGGACTGACATCTTATTTGATGTTACTCATTATGGACTTGTTCAAGTTCCTACTGAATTGAGTGGTCAAACCTGTGTTGCTTTTAGTAGGTCCAGGCTGCAGCTCTGTGCATGTTCCAGTGTAGTTACAGGGGCTATCATCAAGAACTAGCCTTGAGAGATTTGCAGAGAAAATTACTACATAAGGTAAAAAACAATGTGAAATTGATTTTATTTTACTGGATTGTGGGCTCTAAAGCCTGACTGAGAGAAAGATAAGGTGGGAGAGGGAGGTATATATATATGGTATTATGCAAACTCTCTGTGTAGTGTTTCAGAGGAGATGTTCAAGCCAGCTAGGTGAGGTGCTGTCTACACGGTGTTTCCTAGATGGTCCTTGTGCAAAAACGGGGTTTGCCGGTTTGGAGAGATTACATTCTGTAGTGATTTTTGGAAGCATATAAGGAATACCAGCTTTCTCTTCTGGGGTGAACTTTCTTAGCACATCCTCTGCTGGTTGGTTTCTAGACATTGGTGTTTAGAAAGGGACCTCATTATAAACATCCACAAATTCAGTGATGCGCCTTGTATTCCTCCTAATAGTACCATTATTTTTTTCCCTGTCGTATTTTGTGGCTTATCTTACTATTTTTCCATGGACTGCAGTGGGAAGAAATCTGAACTCTCATTTGAAAAACATCTTAGACTGTAACTTTTAAGACAGCTTTTATGGCATTGCATTATGTTACTTACATAACGTATCCTTACAGTGAATTCTCAGCAAAATGGAATGACGCTGAGATGAATCCCTCTGCTTGTTTGGGGAATGCAAAATGTAATCCCATAGAAATTTCACTGTAATTTGCTGTGATTACTCTCTATTTTCATTAAGCTATTTCCTGGTTTGACCTTTTTTTGTATGTGTCTGCTCTAAACTTAGCTCTAAACTTCAACCTTTATGGTACTACAAAAATAGATTCATTAGCGGAGCTTCCCTCAGGTGGGTAACGTTAAAATAAATAATAGGTTATCTAAGGTACTAAGCAATTGCATGCTGACAGGATTCTTCCACCTTCACCAAACCTTCCTGTGAAGACAACCCTACATGTGTGGTCTGCAGCCAAGAAACACACATCTCGCAGCCCCACCACCAGGTCCGTGGCTGTGTCCTGCACTGGGCAGGGAGGGTTCATCGGCAGGCAAAGCTGAGCTCCGCATCAGTTTAAGAAAGCAAACACTCACTGTGGCATTCTTATACTTAAGGAGAAAAACAGCCGGAAGCAATCATTAGGGATGCCATATTCCCTCTTTTATTAAGGCACTAACCTTGTCCTGACCTTGACCTTATGGGAAGGGTTTCTGAAGCTGGCCAAGGATTAAATTAGCCACCAGTGTCGTAAAACTTTTCTGTAACTAAGAGAAATGTCAAGTACCAGTTTGTAATGAAGTGTGTGTGCTCCCCATCACCTTTTCTTGTATTTGTCTTTCCACTTCAGCAATACCTGTGGGATTAATAAGTGTGCTAAGTGGGAGGGAACAGCTAGCTGTGCGTTTTAGTCTTTTCCTGGTCTTTCATTTTTTAATCCTCCCTGTAAAGGTGACCAAATACAAGAAAAGAAGTTAGTAGTATCATCCTAACTGAGGAGCTTTTCCATGTTCGTGTTAATTGCCCCTCTTCTTTCCAGGAATCCTTTCAATCCTTGTAGTAATGTCTTTTCCATCTCTCTTTTTCCTCTCTTTCTTATAGTTATGTACTTCTTGTGGCTTATAGAGGAGCTGAAACAGTCATTTTTGCTTTCCTCCTCATGCTTACCCACCTACTGCTGAGTTCCTTCATGAGGAGCAAATTCTGCTGTTGCACTGGAAAGTGAAAACACTTAGGAAATGGTAGTTTATCACTTCGTAGCATCTGCTCTAATAGACCAAGAAATCATAGAATCATAGAATGGTTTGGGTTGGAAGGGACCTAAAAGATCCCCTAGTCCCACCCCTCCTGCCATTAGATCATGTTGCTCATCCAACCTGGCCGTGCACACTTCCAGGGATGGGGCATCCACAACTTCTCTGTTACGGTGCCTTACCACCCTCACCATGAAGAATTTCTTCCCAATATTTAATTTAAATCTACCCTCTTTCAGTTTATCGTTGGCAAAAGCTTTATCTACCTTTTTGCCTCTTTAATGCAAACATAAAAAGGTGTTCTGGCAACAGTGGTTTTGCAAGGGGAGCTTTTGCCAGTTCAGCAACCGGCCCCACAGGCAAAAGCATGACAGGTTTCAGGGGAAGCTGAAGCTGTAGCCAGGCATCAGACTTGTAGCTGGGTCAGTTAAAAAAAAAACAAACCTCATTGAAACCCCGAGCTCTGTGTGTGTCTCTCTCCTCACTGTGCCAGTGACATTTGAAATGTAGACTTGGAGGAAAGAAAGAGTGCTTGTGCAGCCAGAGACGACTCTCATTTCTGAACGTTGTCTTACAGGCAGTGGGCTTCTTAAAATGGTCTCAAGGCTCCTCTGAGAAACGTAAAAATAGGAGTTGCTGCACGTTGTCTTTCAGAATGTTAATACCTGAAGCTGCAGCAAATGTGCCCGTATGGGCTTTTCTCAGTAGATCTTAATCCCAGTGCTTGGTTCCTGTTCTCGTTGCTCTGCCAGCGCAGGGCAGATGTGTTCCTGCTCCCGCAAATCTTTTGTGGGGATCAGTGGGGAGAAAACACCTGATGCTGGAGGGGAAATAACCAAAGCGGCACGGTGAATTGGAGTTGTTTTCAGCTCCTGACACTATCTCCAAAATGAAAAATGTGTTAATACATTACAGGCTGTTCGGTCTCCTCAAACCTTAGATAACCATATCATTGTGTTAGAGCTGAAGTGCAGGACATGTCACAGCAGAGTGATCTTCTTCGGTATCAAGCTGTATATTGCAGTATTACAGTTATCTTCCTGCTCTTGCTCTAATTCAGAGGAGGTAGTGATAACAGCAAGACTGTGAGCTGTGCAAGCTGTCCAAACAAGATTTAGGGACATGACATGAGTGTTTGAGGTTTATTCCCCAGTATGAAGTGAAAACGTTTCTGCTTTACCATTTCTTTTGGAAGTATGTTCACTAGTAGCACAACAAGTAGACAGCAACAGAGTCGCGTGGTTAGTCTCATCACAGAGAAATGAATTTTCAAAGAATGGGAGAAAAGCTTCAGTTTTAAAAATTGTGTATGATTTCCAAATTGTAAAAGCGAACTTAAAATGTCTTTGCATGAGAAAACCACCAGCCCATCACATAGTTAAAACATTCTGCCTTTATTTAACATTGTGAGTATCTTGTATTAATCACCTTCCCCTGGAGCACAGCAGCTGCTAGGCAGCATTTAAAAAACCTTGGCATGGCCATGTCCGTGGTTGGGCCTGCCGCTGCCGTCCCTCTTAGCTCTCACCGCTCGTTCATCAGGGTGGTAGCAGTGCTTGTCTGACCCTGAGCCAGATCAGATAGTTACACTGGTAGA